TTTTGATGAGGGAAGAATTCTCATCCTCTGAGATATCCCACTCTAGCTGAGTATGTGTTTTCTTTTGAGATGGGACTTTTGTATTACCAGGCTGGCCTCAAGCCACCCTATCAGCCTCCCTGGTAACTGCAGATGTGCCATCATGCCTACTTAAGATGTCATTTATTACAGAGATCAGTGTGTGGAGATAGACGGCTCTGGAGTGCTAAGTGGTAGTGAAGCTTTTTTTAATACTATTTTTAATTTGATTATAAACTAGAAGCAGTAATCCACATATTTGTATAATCCATGAAGAGATATCATGAGCTACAAACTCAGTTGTGGCTTATGCCCATGATCCTAGCTACTCAGGAGGCTGAGACCTCAAAGATTGAGATTTATAATTAGCCTGGGCAGAAAAGTACTCAAGACTCCATTAACCAGCAGATTGCCTGGCTATAGCACATATAGTGGTGGAGTGTGCCAGCCGAGCAAACACGTGATGACTGTGGGGCCCTGAGTCCAAGCCCCAGAACCAGTACAAAACAAAAAGTAAGTCAAAGCCAGATGAGGGATTATAAGTACTGTTAACACGTAGATGCCGAGATTTGGGGGTTAGTGCTATATTTCTCATTAAATATAAGTTAAATAGATAGTAATTTTTTAAAGTACATTTCTGCTGCTTATCGATGCCATAACCTAGTTGTATGTGTCCTTAGTAAGGAGTAAATCAGGTGCATATAGCAGGAGAGCGAACAGTCGATCGGTCGTGTTGCTTCTCAGTGCCCAGATGTTTCTGAATTCTTTTTTTTTTTTTTTGTCTTTTCTTTTTTGGTACTGGGGATCGAACCCAGGACGTTGCGCTTGCTAGGCAAGCGCTTTGCCACTGAGCTACATCCCAGCCCGTTTCTGAATTCTTGATCACATTCTGTTTCAGGTTTGAAGATCAGCTTCAGCAGTGGTTGTCTGAAGACTCAGGAACATGTACAGATTCCACATCCCTTCCCCTCTACCTTCCTCAGACACTAGTATCTCTTCCTCGTACTATGGAGTCCATCATGAAAGCATCAACAGTAACTGGTCCACAGGTGAGAACAGAGCACATTTGTCATTAGCAAAGACAGACCTAACAAAAATTGGTCTTTCATTAATTCAATCTTGTAGTGACCCCACCAATTCTCAATCTGTGGGAGAATGGAACTGAAACAAGAACTGATTAAACTGTAGCCCTTCACCAGCGAGTAGGAAGGACATTGAGAGTGTGACAGCTGGTAACAGCACATTTTGTTTTTGGAACACATACATACTACATCACCCAGGTTTGCTTCTAGGAATAGTAGTGAATGACAGGATTGACCAGGGCAAACTTAAAGGAGCCGAAGCCTGCTCTAGGTCTTCCATCTTGTCAAGGCCAGAGATTTCTTTTTTTTAATTCTTTCTTTCTTTCTTTTTTTTTTTGGTTGGTCATGGGGCTTGAACTCTGGGCCTGGGCGCTCTCCCTCAGCAATTAAGCTCAAGGCTAGCACTGTACCACTTTGAGCCACAGCTCCACTTCCAGTTTTTGAGTGGTTCATTGGAGGTAAGGGTCTCACGGGAACTTTTCTGCTCAGGCTGGCTTTGAACCGGGATCCTCAGATCTCAGCCTCCTGAGTGGCTAGGACTACACTCCTGAGCCACTGGCGCCTGGCTTTTTCTTTTTTTTTTCCGTGGTGCTGCTTAGCAAGTACTGCACTCTACAACTGAGGAATACTGTCAGCATCTTGTTTTGGGAGGTAGAATCTAATGATGTACCCTAGGCTGCCTCAGCCTCCCAGTGCTGGGATTATACTACCACTTGGCCCAATGTTGTTTTCAAAGCCATCGCTGTCCTTTCCTGTGTGGCTAAAGAGTTAGAAGCATTTTAATCACAGATAAGTGCTGCCAGTGAAAGAAAAAACATGTTTCTATAGCAACTTAAGCCGTTCAATAGAAGAGGAAAGCTAAGATAAACATAAATAAATAATAAGGTATAACTAAGATAACAGTGTTTCTCAGGTTGACAAATACTTAAAAATGTTCCTATTTATTGGCTTACTAAACCTATCTTAAAGGAATTGTCAAATGTTCACAACATTTAATTTACAAAAAATGTTTGCAGGGGCTGGGAAGGTGGCTCAGTGGTAGAGCGCTTGCCTTGCATGCATGAGGCCCTGGGTTCAATTCCTCAGTACCACATAAGCAAAAAGAAAAAAGCTGGAAGTGATGCTGTGGCTCAAGTGGTAGAGAGCTAGCCTTGAGATGAAGAGCTGAGGGACAGCGCCCAGGCACAGAGTTCAGGCCCCACGACTGGACACCCCCCCCCCCAAAAAAAAATGTTTGCTGTAGCATTGCATAAAAGTGCAAGCCAAGCAAACTAAATGTCCAAAGATGAGAATCTGGCAAAGCCGTTTTACAGGGACCTGGTGGGCTCTGTGTAAGTATCAGAAGAGGCCCAGATGAGAATAGAAACCAGCTCTAGTCCTTTCCAGAGAAGAGGCCTTAGTTTGTTTGCATCCTCAAACTACTCATAGTGATTTTTTTTTTAAAAATTGATTGTTATGAAGGTCATGTACAAAGGGGTTTGCAATTACGTAACTCAGGTAAAGAGAATGTTTCTTTTTGGACAGTTCACCTACTGGTTTCTTTTTTATTCAAATAGACCACAAGAACAGGGGAGCAGCTGCAGCTTTCAGAGGTAACGAGCAGCTCTCTGACTGAACGGCTGAAGCACCTAGAAAGGCTGATCGAGAGCTCGAGGGAAGAGGAAGCTGCCTCTGAGCTCCATCTGTCTGCACTGCTGGACATGGTGGACATCTGAGAGCCTGGCCAAAGAGGTGGTCGTCTTTCCAGAATAGTTTGTTTTTACTTAAAATTATGTTATTCCCAGATGCTTAATGCAATTCTGGAAATAGGATTACTAATCATGCAAATAAACTATTTGAATCTCTAATGAGATCCTGCCCAGACTTCCCTTGTATGACTTCAACACTCTTATCCGTTTCATTATCTTTTCTCAGACTGTCTCCCACTAGCACATGCTCTGAGGGGTTTTGTCGCTTACATTTCTCTCAGGTAATTCTCTTAGCAAAGGTGAGCCTACTGTTGCAGACATCAGAAGTGCTGGGATACATAAGGTATATAAGGTCTCTGCCTGCCAGGCCTGCCCAGCTCAACTCCTAACACCAACAGGTAGGTGTGTGCATGTGTGTGTGTAAGTGATGTGGACATAGATGTGTTTCTGGGTAAGAAGCAAACATGGGACATTGTACCTGAGAAGACATGATAGAGACCTGGGGACAATCTTAAATCGGCAGGAAGCACCTCCCAGGCCCCCTCCTTCCTCACTGAGTACCTCTTGATTAAGAATGTGGCTCAGTGGTAGAGTGCTTGCCTATCATGCATGACGCCCTAGGTTCGGTTCCTCAGTACTACATGAAAAGCCAGAAGTGGTGCTGTGACTTAAGTGGTGAGTGCTAGCCTTAAGCAAAAGAATTTCAGGGCCTTCCCTGAGTGCAAGCCCTAGGACTGGCACAAAAAAAAAAAAAAAGGATTTCAAGGAAATGATATTCCATTACATTTTTGAGAACTTAAAGTAGTGGAGCTCAAGTGGTAGTATGCCATCTTTGAGCAAATATGCTAAGGGACAATGTCTAGGTCCTGAGTTCAAGCCCCCCAGTACTGGCACTAAAAAATTAAAACTTAAGTATCATTGTTTGTTGCTACTAAAAATCAGTGCTCAGTTTCAGAGGCATACTCTTTGTCTTTTTGTCGTTTTTTTTCTTTTTTGGTACTGGGGATTGAACCCAGGACGTTGCACTTTCTAGGCAATCACTTTGCCACTGAGCTACATCCCAGCCCTCAGAGGCATAGTCTTACATTGAATTTATCTGTAATGTCTAGTATAATCACAGTACTGTGTTCTCCGTAGTTGAGGGTCCAGTTTGACCCCCTCAGATTTCACCTTTAATACCAATTACATAATAATTAACAAAGTTCAGGTGTAGACTTGAAAATAGAATTGTTTTGAAAGGAGCAATGATAGCAAGAGGAAATCCTTGGCTTTTTTTTTTTTTTTTGGCAATCCTAGGGCTTGAACTTGGCCTGGGCACTGCCCCTGAGCTTTTTTGCTCAAGGCTAATGCTCTATCACTTGAGCCACAGTGGCACTTCCTGCTTTCCAGTGGTTAATTAAGATAAGAGTGTTGGAGTATATTAGACTTTGCCAGAAAACCATGCAGACATCCTGGTACAAAGAACAAAGAAAAGGTTTATTGCCAGTAAAAGGATTGGCATGACTCTTCCCACAAGAGAAGACTGAGAAGTACCCACTATTGTCTGAGGTGACCTTTATAACCCACTGAAGCTAGGATGGGCTAAGAAGGGGATAGTAGGCAGAGACCTTGCTTTTTAATTCCTGAAAGATAAACACCCCCTTAATCCCCTCAATACACACACACACACACACACACACGCACGCACACACACACACACACGGGCTGGGATTGTAAGTACAGTGCCCCACCTGTGGTATTTTAAAAGTCTTATTTTAGACACTATTGGCTTCTTACAACATGAGTTAGCTTTCATATTACCTTCCCTATTAGGTATGTCATCCTCACATACATAGTTAAATTTTCTTCCATTAAGTCTCCCTAAACATTTCAGTATGTTGGCTAAAATCTGTACTCTCAATTCAGAATGATGAAAGTTTACCGCTGGTTGTGAAACCCTGTGTCAATTTGATTAACATTTCTTTTAGGTGCAATTTTGAATTTTCCTACAGTTGTTGTCTTTTTTTTTTTCTCTTCTTTTCATTAGTTTAGTTTTTTGTGTTTCTGTCACTACTCCAGTGTATAAAGTGCTCTTTTTTTTTTTAGGCCTGTTCTGGGCCTGGCCTCTGTCCCTGAGCCTCTATGAGCTCAAGGCTAACACTCTACCACTTAATCCACAGCACCACCTTCGCCTTTTTCTGTTTATGTGTTACTGAGGAATCAAACCCTGGGCATGCTAGGCAAGTAAGTGCTCCACCACTCAGCCATGTTCCCAGCTAGTGTAAAGCACCTCCCAGCACGGGCCTGCCAGGTAATGGCTAACTCCATTTCCCTGTCAGGACCACTCTGGGGAATCACCCTGTCTTGCCACACTTGGAAATTCCCTGGAGTCTGAATAATAAACTTTTTTTTTTTTTGGTTTGCTTTGCACCTTATCTAAAATACCTTTTTTTTGGGGGGGGGGGTTCTGGTTGTGGGGCCTGAACTCTGGGCCTGGGCGCTGTCTCTCAGTGCTTCAGCTAGTTAGCTAGCTGTCTAGCTAGCTCTTCAGTAGGCTAGCACTCAACCACTTGAGCCACAGCACCACTTCTGGCTTCTTTTTGCTTATGTGGTGCTGAGGAATCGAACACAGGGCCTCATGCATGCAAGGCAAGCACTCTACCACTGAGCCACCTTCCCAGCCCTAAAATATCTTTTTTTACTCTTATATTTTATTCATAATTTCAATAGAAGTAGAATTTTAGGTGGGAAATTATTACCTTGTATTTATGCTTGTTTTGTTTCTTGAAACTTTATGTGTGTGTTTGTACGAATAGGTGTGTACGAGGCCTGGGACTTGAACTCAGGGCCTGGGTACTATTCTTAGGCCAGCACTCTGTCATTTCAGCTAGATCTACAATTCTGGGTTTTTTGTTTTGTTTTTTGTTTTTTTGGTCGTGGGGCTTCAACTCTGGGCCTGGGCGCTGTCCCTCAGCTCTTCAGCTCAAGGCTAGTGCTCTACCACTTGAGCCACAGTGCCACTTCTGGTTTTCTGCTGATTTATGGGAGATAAGAGTCTCATGGCCTTTCCTGCCCAGGCTGGCTACGAACCAGGATCCTCAGCCTCCTTAGTAGTTAGGATTACAGGCATGAGCGCCTGGCGCCCGGCACTTCAGGTTTTTCTGATGGTTAACTGGAGATGAGTTTCATAGACTTTCCTGCACAGGATAGTTTCAAACGGTCAGAACTCTGCCTTCTGAATAGCTAGGATTACTGCACCCAGCTGTTTCTGGAAACTTTCAAGATAATGTCTATCCCTGGTGTTCTCAAATATCTCAACATATTTAATGTGTTGGCCTCCTAAGCTAGTCACTCAGCTGCTTTCCTTTCTACCTTCCCTTCTTTCCTTTTTCTTCTCTCTCTCTGTCTCCCTTCTTTCCAGGGTCTATGCAACCTGAGCTGAATTCACCCTTTCAGACTTTGCCCGCTCAGTTTCCCAGGTTCTGGGATTAGTTATGTGTCACGGCTGGCTTTTTGCAGGCCAGTTGTTCCAGAGGGATTCTCAAGCCATCTGACTAGGAGGGAGAAGCAGGACGGAGCCTCCACACAGTGTACACTGACTCAGTCCCTCAATCCACAGTGGCACTCAGTTGTGCCTGAGGCCCAAGCTCTTACCCATTGTGACTCAACAACTGGAGGCCTCCAGCCAAGTAGAAGCAAGGATTTATGGCCATACTGTTTCTTACGCAAGGCTTGCAATTTCTATACCCAGAGTTGATTGGCAAGAATAGTCTTTTTTATGTTGTCTTCACCCATGACTTAGCAAGAGAAAAGCTTGCTTAGTTATCATTTATTCCTCTATCCAGTCTTTATTACTTTGTTTATACTCTTGCTTACTAGTATTTTTCTCTGCATGCCTTATTGATTTTTATGTCTGTCTGGTAAGATCTGGGAGGGAATTGGAGGTCGATGCCTGTGTTTAGTATGGCATGTTTAACTAGAAACTTACGTTTTCTGCCATTAGTCTTTTTTTTTTTCAATTAGTACATCTATCTATCTATCTATCTATCTATCTATTGTCCAGATGTGGGGTCTGAACTCTGGGGCCTAGGCGCTGTCCCTCAGCTCTTCAGCTCAGGGCTAGGGCTCTACCACTTGAGCCACAGTGCCACTTCCAGCTTTTTTCTTTTTTCTTATGTGGTGCTGAGGAATCGAACCCAGGGCCTCATGCATGCAAGGTAAGTGCTCTACCACTGAGCCACCTTCCCAGCCCTAGTACATTTAATTATTTAAATAGGTATTTATACACATATTACACATATTTTTGTTGTTGTTTTTGTTTTTTGTTTTTTTTGTCGGTCGTGGGCCTTGAACTCTCGGTCTAGGAGCTGTCCCTGCACTCTTCAGCTCAAGGCTAGTGCTCTACTACTTGAGCCACAGCACCACTTCCGGTTTTCTAGTGGTTTATTAGAGGTAAAAGTCTCACGGACTTTCACGCCCAGGCTTGCTTCGAACCGCAATCCTCAAATCTCAGCCTCCTGAGTAGCTAGGATTACAGGCGTGAGCTACTGGCACCCAGCTTTTTTTTTTTTTTT